TTTAAATTTAAGCATTAGTGTTTTGGCGGGCATATGATATAACTCGTGAAATAGGCATGCTGCTGAAAAAGGATCCGATGTTATCATTGGAAAAGCTCGGGCAGCTACGTCAGCGTGAGCATTGACTTCTGCCATAGGACGTGGCAGCAATGTGTGTGCTCGTATATGAGCCATGTGAAAAGGATGTGACCTCTTCCTAATGGTATCATGTATGGGCAACAGAATGGAGACCACCGGGCTCCTGTCAGAGATCATTGCAGAAGATTCAAGGTGATTTATACCATTGACCACATAATGGGAATCAGAGTAAATATTAAGGGGGCCTGTAAAAGGTAAGAAACAGGGGCTGGAGAGATGGCTCAGAGTTTAAGAGCTGCTCTTCCAGAGGTCCTGAGTTCAATTCCCAGCAACCACATGGTGGCTCACAACCATCTGTACTGAGATCTAGCGCCCTCCTCTGGCGTGCGGGCATACATTGAGGCAGAATATTGTATACATAATAAATAAATAAATCTTTAAAAAAAAAGGTAAGAAACACCTCTAGAACCATTTGACATTCCACTATTTGTGGCCTATTTGGCTCAAAATGTTTAATGACTATCTCCCCTCGCTGGACAACATAGGCTCCCATACTAGAACTTGACCCATTGGTATAAACAGTGATTGCATTATCCAAGGGGCGAGGCTTGGTCACCTTAGGAAAAATAACTGGATGATTCATGACAAAATGTAGCAGTTTATTGGATGGATAATGATTATCAAACCTTCCAGAAAATGGACAGACAAAAACAGCCCAATCATCTAGTGTTGCACTGAAGACTTGTATTTGTTTAGGGGTGTATGGCTGGATCAACAACTGTGGTTGCATAGCAAAATGTGTTAAAGACATCTTTATACCCATCATGGCAATAGATGCCACAGCCGTGGGATAACACTCAATTGTTTTGCAAATGGAGGTATGAGCATGTATCCACAACAAAGGCCCATCTTGCCAAAGGACAGTTGTGGGTGCTGACCTAGTAGGCAAAATACACAACACTAATTGTTTATTCTCATTATATCGTCTTAACTGTGCATTCTGAATGGCCTGTTCAACCCTCTTCAAAGTCTCTCTTGCATCCTGTGTCAGCAT